CTCTGGATCCTCCCTGAGAGCTAAATATATATACGCTATGCATGCCAACAACAAGTCTGTACGTTTTGTGTTATGGGTTTTGTGCACAAATTCAGTACAGAATGATCAAGGTGCTCAGAACTAATTCGAAGTTTCTCTAGGAAATAATCAAGGCAATTCTCAGTTAAGGTATTGTTTAGCATGTGTTGCAGCCGGATGTGTCACACAATCCCCGGTATAGTTTAAACCGGCGGTTTACGCTAGGTATTATTTTGCTCAGGTTTGTTAAAAAATGTTCCAAGGTTATCTCAAAGTCACTCAATCGTTGGATCACGCTCACGATCGAAGTCAGCTATATTGACCTGAGTAAGGTGCTACTCGAGTATCGATTCCCGCTCTGATGCAGTGTGTTTGCATATTGTAGTCAAATTAATATGAAGAAGAATAACTCACGTTTTGTTCCGGTAAACAGCTACGCCACACACAAAGAACTTGCTGGTAAACAGCCACGCATCACGCAAAGAAGTTGCTGCCGGTTTAAGAGCCAACCCACACACAACGAACTTGCTGGTAAACAGCTACGCCACACGAAAAGGACTTGCTCGTAAACAGCTACGCGGAAGGAAAATTACCCGTAAACAACTACACCATATTCTCGGGGGCGACCTTTGAACTTTCAGGCCTTGATGAGGGATGGGTGGGTGATTCAAGTTGAGCATGAATTTTATTTATTTTTGCACCCTGAACGCTCAAGATATATTTTTCTCAGCCCTTTATGGTTTTCTTTTCTTGTTATATAAGTATGTATTTTTTTGGTCTAAAAGTAGCTTGGATGATTTTTTTCATCACAATTACCCCACCCCACTCCACTCAGTAGAACATTTTGCAAGCTTAAACAGCCATCCAATCCCCTTCCAGCCTTCCTGCCTGCGTGCCTGAGGACCACCTCGCTTCTCAGTTACATAGGTCGGACATTAACATGTCCTCCCAAAAATACAAACAAACAAACAATCCCGATTGCTTACGATTTTGTCAAATCCTTCGTGTTATGAGCATTTTCATTAAATCAGCTTGTCTTATTAAACAAACCTTTAAGCTGGACGCCTTGCTATCAACGTTGATATGAAAGCTTTGTTAATAAATAGATCATCGCTACGCTCGGCCCAGATTACCACAACTTCGGGCCAACATTCCCCGGTACGGCCCTCGTGCTCGGTTAATAAGAGATTAAGATGGAGCAAGATTTTGAAGTATTCAGAAGTTATTTGAACTTCCCCTTTTCACAATGGCAATGATAACTCAAAAGCAGAAAATAACACCACTGTTAAAACCTTCACTAGATCCAGGACATCATGGTGTCCGTGGTAGGGCAGGCACAGGGCGTAACGGCTATAAGACAGCGCTAGACGTTCCGGCTGATTTTCTGACTGGGATCACTAACTCCCAGGGGCTTGAACATTGAATTCAAATTCAATTAAATTGCCATTTATGAACAAGAACTCGCACGCACACGCGTAGCATTTTCAAGAGCATCTACGCCATTAGCCGCGCGTGAACAATAACGTTTGTTCCACGCCTAAAATTTGCGACTGATGAAGAGGTTGTTCCCGGAACGTCTCTAAAAATACCTTTAAGCACTTTTTTTAAACTTAATCCACGCAATTCAATTCAAAGTGCTACACAGCAACAATTTGTTTTCACTCAGTCTAACTGTGATTTCCCTGACCAAATTTTCCCCAAAGCGTGGACGGAAAACATTTGATGCGTTTTCCGAGTGAAAACGCCGTTTTCAAATTTCTCCTGCGTGGTGTGGACGAGGCCTTAGGAGTGTCGCGGTACATAATTTGCATGATCTTGTTTCCATTCATAACAAGTAAAATTACCTCTTTTGGCCTTAAGGGCACATTAACAGATTTATGCGCGGAAAGTAAAAACAACTCGATAACTTGCAAATTCGCTCACATTTTAGACCTTTTTCTTTGTGTTTCACAAAATGCAAAGTAAAAAAAATACAAGCAAAGACAAAATAAGAAAAAGCCCGAAAAACAAGAGCAATGGAAAGAGAAAAACTCCGTGTGGCTTTGTTTGATCTTACCAAAGTGCGCTGGTAGTGTAAATTGCGCATGCGCTGATAGGGTAACTTCCAATATATATCGGGCGCACTTCC